TTGGTGTAATATATGGAAATATCGGTGAATCATTGGAAATCATCATGAAGGTATGTTGTCTCAGAAATATTGGTAGAATATTCTCATACCAATATTGCTGGTATATTCGTGAAGTTATATTGGTCACGAAATGTGATATCAATATACTGGTGCAATATTGGTTGGAAATATTGGTACATTATTGAAAATCATTATGTAGCTATGTTGTCTTCAAAATATTGGTGGAATATTTTCATACCAATATTTGCGAGTTATTCGCATCAGGAATAATCACAAAGGTCAGCCCAGCCGGAGTGCAATGGGAGGGCCTTGCCCCAGGGAAGCCGCCTTGTTGATCACGGTTAACCCCTATTCCAGGTTATAATACTTTACAATCGTCTAGAGCCAATATTTAAATTCTCTCGTCGGATCGGCAATGAGAGTACGTTACCAATCATTTATAGCGCCATCTATCGACATCGGTGTAGGAGTGCGTAATATGGAATAAATATCGAAATTTCGATATCGATATGTATTCTCAAAACAATATGTGAACAATATTGCTTACATGATATAGTGAATCACATATCAACCAATATAAGATGATATTATTTTCTGAATATGGCTAGAAAACTATTCACCCGATATGCAATTGAACTTGAAAATACAATATTGTCTTTCTCTTTTATGTCCGATATAAGATACATATTGAATTGCCGTTATTGATATTCATATTTGAATCATTGAAAACCCCTTCAGAATCGACATGTGGAGAATGTTCAAATTGCTATATCGGTTATAATTGTTGGAAACAATATGTATACGATATCTTCCGCATGATATGGATAGAATGATATTAATCAAGATAGGTGAATATGATATTTCGAATATTGTTGAAACAATATTCAACCAATGTGCCGTCGAACTCAAATATACAATATTGCACAACCGCTTCAGAATCAACATGGGGACAATATTCAAATCGCGATATTGGTTATAAATGTAACAAGCAAATTGTATACGATATCTTCCGCATGATATAGATAAAATGATATCGATCAAGATACGTGAATATAATGTTTCAAATATTGTTGAAACAATATCCAACCGATATGCCGTTTAACTTGAATATACAATATTGCATAACCGCTTCAGAATCGACATGGGGAGAATGTTCAAATTGCAATATTGGTTGTAAATGTCGGGAACAATATGTATACGATGTTGTTGTATCGACATTCGTGAAACAATATTATATAACATTCATAGATTATGTTTTTCAACACATTGTTAACGAATTTTACAACCAATATTGCTCCAATATTGTAGCTGACAATCCATATTCAGCTCAGGTTGAACCAATATTCCACCAATATTATCATTCCAATATTGTTTGTCCAATATACTCTCATATTGGACCTATATTATTTTTCACATGTACGATATATCTATATCGGCCCAATATGAAATCGGGTTCCAGCCAATATGATGTGCTACCTGGGAACAGTACACTGCGGCCGGCAGCTGGTCCCAGTGCTGGGTACCCAGCAATCATATTCAGTTCCCCGGCAAAAGGCCAGTACAACATAATCGACACATTGAGTTTCCCATAGCAAGCCCATCATATACATAAATGATGGGACTGTAATGGCCAATTAACGACATTGGTTACATACTATCGAGGTAGGGTATGGGTTTTAAGGGTCCAATGGATCTGAAAGTTCTAGTATCTCTTTATTCCACAATATAACCCTCTCATCATAAATCAGACACATACCAGATTCCAAGAAAACAATTGTATTGACACAATTATATCATCTTAACCTCTCTGTTCTTCAACGATTAAATTTCTCGGAGCGACTGATGCTTACTGGTTGGTATGTGGTATCTACATCTTAGTGGGTAGCATTCCTTCAAAGTTGATTCTTCGTTGTGAGGTACTTCTGAAATGCATCATTAGTTATATATTAGTGGTCTATGAGTTGCATGAGTTTATAACTTGATAATATAGTCTGATGACGTGATAACATGGAGCTTTTCAATTCTCATTATTTCTTGGCACTGATATTCCTGTACCTGAAACCTTATTGTTATTTAGTTTCTCAATATAGAGACAGGTTCACATGACCTAAGATTGCTATTGATAGCAACAAACGAGTAAAAAATAATAGTTGCTTTTGGAGAAGTATAGCCAACTCCAATTATTATGATCATTAGGTATATGAGGTTACGAGATACGAAACACATGCATTTGATAATGAAATTCTAAACACTATGTAGATAGATTGATACTTACTCAATATTATCATAATTGAAAAATCCGTCTTCTATTATTATCAATTGAGAATACTCCTGCCATCATAAATAACCAACAGGAAAAGAGAGGACCATACTAATACGACATAAACGAACTAGTACGCGATCACCACTCTCGAGAGTCAGCCATCTTAGTCACATATAATATTGATCAGCTGATTGTTGATGTAGCCGTTCCCAGAACATCCACCAGGGGGACGAGTAGCGAACATGAAATTGGCAAGCAAAGGGCCAGATCTCGTTAGTATTCAAGTAGTTCCAGACATCTTACCATCACACGGCCATCATCGTATTTTTAAATGATGGTTACTGGCATAGAAAAATCATCGGCCCATTACCAATACCCCGGCATCGTCACTTTCCCAGACTAGCCTGCACTAGGCCGGACTTCTCCCGCTAGTTCAATGTTTGCTGGGATATTACTAAAAACAGAACCACAACGTTTATTGGGATTGATGAAAAGACAATTGAGTAATGGATAAAAAAACGATTTTTCATGGAAATATTAATACCCTGTATCCCAATCTCCTAAAATATCACAAGGAATCACACCTTCAATTTTTTCGGTGTTATTGAGAGACACCCTGTATAATAATTGAAATTCATGAGATGAAATTCGCTGTAAAACTTTTGTATAATGATAGGACTCACGTATTTTTTTTGCGTATTTTGTACATTCCCACTGTGGAAGTGGATTCTTATTGATGTGTGGAATATACAGGGACAGGGACAGGGTGATTCAAACTTCAGGAGGTGAGTCCTCACAATATTCTGATATAAATGGTCCAAATAAATATATGTCTGGAAACGCTTTGTTTCAATGGGACAGGGTGTTAAAATTTTATGTTTATTTCCGTTTTATTAAACTAACCTTCGAAATAATGACCCTGTCGAGAATTGGTAAGAGAAGGCGCAGGGGGTGCAACCTACACGTCTTTTTTTTACCGATTCATAACTCTTGAGCAAATTCCTAGCACATTTTTCAGTAGAAAGCTACTATTTGGACTTGAGAATTTCTAGTCGATTATTTGATAATCGATGCATTTTGAAGTCATCACCATTCTTTCGCTTTTTTCACAAGAATGCTTTGAAAATGAAATTGACGTTTAAGTAAATACTACTTATAGCCAGTTGATGTTTCTGTGAGTGTCAATACACTAATTTGAGAATAAAAATTCAACACCCTATAAGTTGCAAACGATGTGTTTCAGGACATATACTTATTTGGACAATTCATATTGTGAGGAATCATCTCCTGAAGCTTGTCAAAGTACCCTTGAAACACCCAGTTTATATTTTCATTGGTCGTTGAGGTACATTCGAGGGGCGAACCACTAATGAAGTCTGGTGTACACGTTGAAGAAGTCTCGATGAAGTCAGTGAAGTCATCATGAAGTCAGTGAAGTCATCATGAAGTCAGTGAAGTCTCGATGAAGTCAGTGAAGTCATGATGAAGTCAGTGAAGTCATGATGAAGTCAGTGAAGTCTCGTTATACTGGAAATCGTGATATAAATACGTACCAGGTTTGTCTGAATTTCCCGCGAAATACAACAGACTCCTTTCGTCTATCCGAGTGACCCTTCTTTCCCATTTATTTCCTCTTCGCCTTGGGTCAAATGAATTATCCCAGCGTAATATTCGAAGGAATATCATGCCACAATTAACCAAACACTATGGTGAATATCGGTATATCACGTCATCGAGAGCTATAGCGTTTTTGAGATGTGATCATTCCAATTATCAGAAAAAAATATATCATGACTTTTGATAATTAATGACTGTATCAAATTATATTCATACATGGAATGAGCAATAGAAAATAAGAACTTGGCATGAATTCGACTCGGAATCAGATACACATATAGGAAAGTCTCTCGATGTTTTCTTTTCCGGATGGCGTTGAAGCCGGTGTGTTCAGTAGGAAACCGAATACTAAAAACGCAAGAATGTTGTCACAACATTGAGCTCCAGCAAGATGAACTTCAAGCTTCGTATGGAACTGCGTTGACTTGCTAGACTGCCTTACAGAATACTTATAGGTATAGGTACTCTGCCGTTACTCTGCTCGGATGCCAGGGTGTGGAGAAACCCGATATTATTACAAAAAGGGAATCGAATCTGTTTTTGTAGGACCAGAGCCATAATTTGGTGTTACCACACGTTGCGGCCAAAACAATCATCTGACAGGATCGCCATGTTCGGAAAATATAACCAAGCAGACGCTACAATTCAGCAAGTATAATCTGCGTTTTCTCACAGAACTGCTCATAGGAGACTATCGACTAAGATAATACATAAGTGGTATGAATCAACAAGCTACCGTAGACTGCTGTAGAACCTGCTGCTACAAATAATACGCTCCTTTTGGATTCCTATGAGATTGGGTATTCCAGTTGATATTATACAAGTTGATTTTTTTAAGAAACTCGAAAGGAACATGAATTTGTATGGTTCTGAATATACTTCACACTAGGTTCACTGTAAGATAAAGGTATATGTTTCAGGTAAAGTTGGGATGACACATTTTGTATCGTAATTATTTCATACTTTTTATTCTCATACATGAACATTCTATAGGTTCTTTTCAATGAATTATTCAAGTGAACATATGATTCTCATTCTTAAATTGAAGAATCATTATTTATTGTAGCAATGAAATGATGCGATAAAAAAAAGTTATCCATGAATACATACATTTCATTTCAGTTCATAAACACATGTCTGAAAATCCTAAGGAAAAAGAGTCGAATAATACGAAAGAAAACGATAAGAGCGTAGCTGGCTGTGAAAAAGACGAAAATAAAGATGGAGGGTTAGATAAGATGAATAAATTGAAAAAGAAGATATCTGCGTTGGAAGAGCAGAATAAATTACTTCAATATCTGAATATTTCCCTTCAAAAGGACGTTATTGAATTGCACAAAGGTGAGTTTAATTATAAGTTGGACAGGACCAAAAGAAAACTCGAGTTGTTACTTGAAAATCTCGTGTAAAGTTACGCGTGATGTCAGTTTTTATGCTGTTTCGTTATTGGTCAGATAATCCTCCATTTCCACTCATGAATCAAGGTTGTCAAGTCACCAATTATAATCAAGTTATCAGAAAGATGTTAGAGTCCTGTCGTTAAATAAAACATAATAGGAGGAATATTATAGTTCATTCTTGAATTTTTCGAGCAACCACCATGTCCATATATTTTTAATTCTCCAAAACAAAAGACTTGGCGACATTGTGGTGGAAGGTGATAACTGACAAGACCACGCCCACAAGTCGTGCGCAGTGTTGTCACGTTCACCGAAGGAGTACATGAACTAGCATGCCTTCACTTTTTCTTGAATATTTACCACTTAATCGTTTCGGAAAAAATTTGAAACTCCTTGTTACCATTAATTTTGAAGAACCTACGATCTAATATATTTTGACACTGCTATGGTATGACTGAAAAATAGACTAATTTGGTGATTCTTTATCTTTATAGATTTGAAAAAGAAATTGATTTCCGAATTAACAATTGAACGATATCCAGAGAATCTAATGGTTGGACAGATTATTGGTGATGAGGTAGAGTATAATTCAAATTATTCTACTTGGGTTGACTTTGTATCATGCGGTTGATGGAGGTAGGTTATGAGTCATTCTAGTTCTTCCTCATATCCTAGAAACATTTCTGAACACTGATTGATGTCTTATATTAGGTTCATGGATTCAACCTCTGAAAGTTTTCTAATTCTTATCCTGTATTATGAATATAATATAGGGTGCTTATGATTTGAAAAGATTCAATGGGTATAGTTCTTGGAGGATTTCCAAAATTATTGAAATATTTTCTGGGATATCTACTATGGAAGTGATCGAACAAGTTATGGAAGAACTCTGCCTCATCAACCTTTTTGAATTTTTCGTCTTATGATATATCATTGGAAATTTCGTGATTTTTTGTTCAGTGGTATCAACTATTTTATAAACAGTATAATCACTTCATGATGTATATAGGGTGTTTGGTTGACCGACGTATTACTCGAAAGAGGGGTAATGTATTTTTGAACATTTATTGAATATTCAATCATATATAATATTATCATACAAAGTGTTGCACTTCTCGAGAATCGCTTTCAAATTCGAAGTTGGATGTTACAGTAAATCGTTCTTCAAATTTTCACATCTAGATCCCATTACGTGTTCATTATCGATAAAATACGTATTCAAATCATGACAAAACTTCTGTACCTAATAAATTATATCCATCAAATCGGTGAAATTCTGAAAAACTATGATATCTCAAAACACGTAAGTCTATGTTTGTTGTGTGATAATATATATAGTCAGATAAACATGGTGAATCAAACACCCTGTATTTACACACATTTCAATACTGTTGTATATGCTTTTGGGTGTATGATAAATTGACATTCATCATACAGGGCGTGGAAAGAAATTCTAAATTGAGACTCTATCACGAATCTGCGATTAGAGGTCTATAAAAATCACAAGTTTCCATCGTTCAAGTTTGAACCCCCTGATTTGGTATGAAAGTGTTGAAATAAGGAATATCCTCAGATAAATTATGAACATACAAAAATGGATATATATTTATATAAAGCAATACATTGAGAATTCGCATTCTCTATGTGATGAGAATATTTACTCTTTTTCAGTTGATTCAATAGAAAACAACTACTTTCCTGGCTATATGCCACGACGAACATTGAATTATATCTATTGAACACACACGATAAGAGTTTGAAAATAGAATATCAAAACTTCTGAAATTGAGAATTTGCATTCTCCTTCAGACAAAAATTTGTATATGCACACATCATATCCTGACTATTATATATATAACCATGATGTCCACTTATCCTTACAGCCATTCTTCATATAGGTAAGTCATATTTCTATATGATTTTTCATCATTTTATTCATCCGATTTGAAGAAGAATGTCAATTCTCAATTTCGGAGGATTTTATTCTTTATTTTTCATGTTCTCCTTTTGAATGTTCATCAAATATAATTCAATGTTCGACGTGGCAAATAGCCAGGAAAGTAGTTGTTTTCTGTTGAATAGTCAGAATATGATGTGTGCATATACATATTTTTGTCTGAAGGAGAATGCAAATTCTCAATTTCAGAAGTTTTGATATTTTATCTTGAAACTCTTATCGTGTGTGTTCAATAGATATAATAGAATGTTCGTCGTGGCATATAGCCAGGAAAGTAGTTGTTTTCTGTTGAATCAACTGAAAAAGAGTGAATATTCTCATCACATAGAGAATGCGAATTCTCAATGTATTGCTTTATATAAATATATATCCATTTTTGTATGTTCATAATTTATCTGAGAATATTCCTTTTCAACACTGTTGTATATCTACAGTGTGACCCACTTCTAATGGAAACACCCCTGTATCTTACATAATCGTTGGGTAAGGATCTTGAAATTTGCTGAAACCAGAGACACGTCAAAAATGCACTCTATGACCAGGTGAGGTCATCTTCATTGATATACACTGCTCGCCAACAGCCATGGAACCACCCCAATTCCCGGAAAATGATATTAGGATTCAAGATAGGTTGAAAATCACTTCGGATTCGGAATCAGGACGCCCAATTCACTGAGTATTCATAGTTTTCCTGGAGAATTTTCAGTTCAGAAAAATTAAATTTTGACTCACTTTTCATGACCCACCTCCGTATCTCACGTAATTATTGAAGTATGGTTCTGAAATTTGCAGGAGGAAGGGAAAGTCCAAAGATGAAGTTAATTATGTAGAATAAGGGGGTGCGCTTCCGTAAAAAATGCGACAGAATTAAATTTTTCAGAACCTTCAAATCTCCAGGAAAAATATGAATAGTTAGAGAACTGGGCGTCCTGATACCGAATCTGAAGTGATTTTGGACCTATTTTGACTCCTAATATCATTTTTCGGAAATTGGGGTGATTCCATGGCTGTTGGAGAGCAGTGTATATCACTGAAAATGACCCCACTTGTTCATAGAGTGCATTTTCGGTATATCTCTCGCTCCAGAGTATTTCAGGATCCTTACCCAACGATTACGTAAGATACAGGGGTGTTTCCATTAGAAGTGGGTCACACTGTATACTCGCACTTTCAGTTTATTTCTGTATAATGAGATATTAATAAAGATATAGAAGTATTTTTCACAAGCTTCTCAATGATCACTGGTTTAGGCTTGTCGCTATATACACATCTCCAAGAAATCAACACACCACCAAAAATAAGTCTGACGTTTAGGAAACATTTTCGTCAAAAATGCTTATCCGATTTGGACGTTTCTGTTTTGAAGGATGGGTTATTCCCTTCTCAACTCTATTCGCATAATAGATTCACTTCATTACTACTACTCCATCACTTATTCCTATTGCTTATATTACTCAAGAAACACCATTTTGTATAGCGTAACATGATTTCATGGAAGATTATTATAACAAAAAAACGAAACAGAATACCTCACCACGAATAAATTCTTGGCAAAGACGGCCTATACCCAAAATAAGAGACCCAATTTCATGTTGGTCTAGGTCATCTCAAATTACAATCATCAGTCTCTGCAGTGCGTTTTCCGAAGTATTCAAGTTACGTTTCTCTTGTAATCATGTCTCAAGAATGTCCCTGGGATTCTCAATGGGTTTTGAATCCGGGCTCCGAGCTGGCCATGTCCTGGTAGCGATACAGACTTCCTCTAGAAAATTTCTCACTACTCGGACGACGTGAGGCTTGGAATCAACAAAAATTCTAGCATGAGAGGTGGTTCTAAAATCACGACTATGTACCTTTCAGCTGTAAGGCTTCCATCTAGGATCACAAGTTCCATGAGACCAGTGAAAGAAATACTTTTCCAGACCATAGGATGCTACTTTCTTGTTCATAATGCCAATGGGCGTGTACACCTTAGTAAAACTTTCAACTCAAACCATGTTTATAATGATCCTTTTATACATAGATAATGATTGACGACATGATTCGATCGAAAAATCAACTGGAATGTTTTATTTTTGAACATAAATAATAGAACCTTCTGAAAACGGACCCTCTTATGACGTAGAAACCCCATCTCGCCATAGTTGAAAGAAAATACTAAACGCCCGACGGAGACTGAGGCAACTGATATATTAATCCTTTCAATTGTGATCTCGCGCTAATTCACTCTGTCAGCAATTATGTATCATTCATCTTTGTCTGGAATAGTCTTGTTTCAGTATCATGGTTCTGACGTTACAGCATCGCCTCGTTTTCAGAGGTCCGAAAAATCGGGGATTTCAATGATTTTTTATAAAACGTAGGGAGCTCACAGCAAGAAACGTTTTGCGGTGGTGAGCTAGTTTGGGTGAGTTCTATCGAATTATGGAATACTTTTTTTTTGTGATATAAGCCCATTGAATTCAATTATTTCATGTTTTGCTATTCAATCGTGTTTCTAGAGAAATAGAAGAGATAATGGAGTAAATTCAAAAAAGAAATGTTGAAAAAACATAATGCTGAAGTGTACTCGCGATTTCAACTTGATAACGTAACTGTTACACTCCACATTTCATAAAAAAATGCATTATAATTGCTATTCCCGGTATTGATGAAGAAGGTTCTTCTGCGAATACAGTTTGCACACCAATATAAAGAAGCATAAAACCCATTTATCAAAACCAAAATCGTCCAAATTGGTCAAGCAGTCTCGATGAAAATGTATTTAAAATTTTTGGATACTTCATGGTGGTGCGTTCATTTTTTGGGGAAGTGTATTTGGATGATTTCACATTCTGTATAATAATGATGAGAATTCTTACTTCTATATCGATTTCAAGACTATGACAGGCTTTTGTTTCGCTGCTCAAGTCTTGCTTTGGTACCATTGAAATAATATTCAATAACAGTGTTCGATTATCTTCGTGTTTCAAGATATATTCAAAATATCGATCAATATCATTATTATCCATTCAGATACTGTCGTTCGAGGTGAAACATGTGAAATTCCAAGAATAATAATCTAGATCATATTTTTTATTTTCGTCTTCTGAACAGTTCACAAGAAGTGGGATACATCGCAATGCCTGAATTCTCTGAATTTTGAAATATATCTTCTATTTTTAGGTGCACCTTGGGCAAAATATATTTCTCAAAAAAGAAATATATAATTCGTGCCTCGTTTCAGCAAAATCTGGAGCTCAGTTCGTGAAAAATATTGCTGTTTCAATTTTTGGAATCGAAATTTTGAAAAATTCTTCAGTTACTGGGAAAATGAGTAACAGAATAAAAAAGAGTGAAGCAAGACCACCTTTAGACCCTAACAAATTGAAGGCCATAAAAGGTAACCATAATATTATTGGTATATCTCAGCCAGCCAGTCAGCTCTATAACAAGCCGCGGAGATTTCAAAAATTGAATATTATATAGGGTGTTTTATTTGAAAAAATTGTCGCGGTCGTCATAACTCAAATCTGGGCCACCCTGTATATTCAATTTCTCCTCATGAATGTTGAAAATTGAAAATAAAAATCGATGTGATTCAGGAGATTCCTCAGAAATGGTCATAGTATTTCTGAAAATTAATTAACTCAGTACTCTAGAAAAGCAAAGTACATTATATTTAACATTCCATCAGTCTAGTTTTCTCGTTATGAGATTTGAAATAACGATAAAAATCATGATTTTCAACTCAATTTTACCCATTTAATTTGATCTTTCCATATCTAACTATTTCAAGATGATTATCTGACCCCTCACTGTTGTTTCAAAACTGGGAAGCTAATGCTAATATTGAAATCTTGAATCATCAAAAATATTCTACAATCTGGTTCGCTCACCAAACTGTTTTTGCTTGCTTCGAAATATACAACTTTATTGTAAAATCCAAAAATATTCGTTCATCATATGGGGGGGAGGTGTTGTCCAAGAAAAACAGAATCACTTATTAAATTTTTTTTCGAACTGAAGGGAATAAGTCGGATTTGAGCCGTCATTTTGGGGGGTCCGGACCCTGGGCACAGGCTTGATGTCAGCTATCTGAAGGTCTCTCCAAGACTACAAGCTGCTTTTTATAAGTTTTAGAACTAGATTTCTCTGTCTTTTCAGGATTTTTGAATCGTCTTCAACGTTCTTTTATGTACCGTCCTATTTTTCATGCGAAACGATGACCATTGATTCAATTTTGTTATTTGTCTGATCACTTCGTTGTAAATTCTGAATTTTCTTGAAAAATTTTGGATTAAAAATTAGTGATAAGATCCAGATAAGTATTCAACATAACAATTCATCTCAGATCAAAGAAACATAACTTTCTTGCCACTATCAAACTTCATTACCATATACCATTTTCATGCAGCAACGTTGCTTCGTTCTCCGTGGTTTAACTGGTTGCATAATATGCCTTTTATGTGCTCTCGATGAGTAGATTTTTGGGCAGAAAAAGGGTTCTTGCCCTCTTATTTTGATCGTTATATTTTTTTCAATGAGGCCGTTCCATAGTACACCTCGTACTCATTCCAATTACACCCTATATATTGAAGTATTTAATACTCATATTTGTATCAATAGGAGGAGAAAATTTCATTACATTTGGGGAAATAAATAAGAGCCTAGTGAAAATTATTTATTATTATATATAAAACTTTGATTCATCTGGCCTTTTCCACTCACGCTAGATATATCTCTGTAGGTATACAGGGTGTCCGTAAAGTATGGAATAAATTCGATGATTCCTAAACTAGAAGCCTTTTCGAAAAAATCTGAAACATGTCGATTTTTAATTTCAATGCTTTACATTTTATCATTAAATTTCATTTTATAGGGTGATAGACATTGAGGTGATGACGTCATCGGCAATTTTTTCGAATGTATATGTATATTTTGTGAAAATTCCAACGAAAATGAGCTGATTCCAAAAAGGTACAAGGGTCACAGAATACAAAATGTCACATCAAACAAGATAGCAGATGCCGTCATCACCTAAATGGGTATCACCCTGTGTACGAGAGGGGCCACACGAGCGTTGTGCATTGTGCAACGCACGTTAAACAGCCGTTATTTTGGAACTCGCGACCAAATCTTGCAGCCACACGAGCGTTCAGTTACGAGCGTCAGTTTGTTGAATATCCATGTGACAATCATGGAAGATCCGCTGCATATCCAATTTTGTACCTTGACTTACTATTATTACTAAAAAAAAAGGAATGCAGGCTGAAAAAAATGCTCAAATGGTGGGTTCATTCTATAAAGAGTGAAAGGTTTTTATGTGGATTATTTTATACTCTATATTCTATATTATCGCTTGGGAGAAGACAGTGTGCGTTGTTTGATCACTTCCGCCCGCATGTCTTTATCAGGAGTGTCCCAAAGCATGGAAGGTTCAAGTTCATGTACTCATCAACACACTTTTTCATTATATTATCATTAATAAATCCAAAAAATACGCTGAATAATATCAGAAGTCTACAATACGGATAGCTATGTTCCCATATCACAAAAATTCTACCAGAACGTATAAAGCGTCAGATAGACGCGCGTTTAATTGAATATCATGTGGGTACGTACATAATGGTAGCTATGAAATCAAACCGGCGTATCTGCAGAACTACTATTTTTCACCAGAGCGCCTCAAAGTTTTTTTACTCGATCATTTCCTTATATCTACTTGATCTTTCATCTCAGACCTATCTTTTTTGTGCATAAAATTGAGTTGGGTTTTGCTTGTAGCTGCATCGGTGGCAAATAACTAGAAAATTTTCTGGGAACAGAAAAATATGCAAATATGTCGGTATATCACTTCAAAGTTTATAATATGGCTATAATTTGCAAAAGTGTCTGGAGTATCCACCAATAAGCCACGCCCGAGGCTACGCCTGTGCAGATTAGAGAGACTAGTATTGGGAGATAATTAGGTTTTACTTACAAGGTGCAGCAGTTTTCACCACGACATCTCATGCTGGACTGACGCATTGGCAGCAATACACCTGTGCTTATAAACATACTGAATTTCGCCAAAATTCATATCGGCACAACGGTACCTGACTAATCACAAGGATACTATACATATACCGGTTTGACTCACTCAAAGAGGTGAACAAAATGATTTTTTATATACCAATAACTCAAAAATCCCTTTTTTGCAGATATGCCGGTTTGATTTTACAGCGACGAATGACTATATGTGTTGAACAAGAACGCACGCTGTGTCATCATAGCTCCTTTCTCTTTTAATCATCTAGTGACTTTGGTTTCGTGTATTGGCGTCCCTGACATGACAGCTGTCACGTTACATTCATAGGAGTTGAAAGGGATCTTACAAAATTTTAATTTCATACATTATCTTGATACGACATCATTCAATTCTGTTTTGGAAGGATGGTATAATATATATGCTGCGTTAGGCTGTATCAATCAGTTGAATGGCGAATTCGAATTTGTCAGCTTTCCTTAAAATGCGAATGAACTCAGAACATGGAGAGTGAAGTGACCAAATGGTGAAAATTGTGCCTATAATTATCCACTCCACGGAGGATTAGAAGAAGAGGCATAATATGCTCTTACCATTTAAAAAATTATACCTACATTCAGGAAATATTGACTGCAAAAATGATTCCCAACATGAATATATCCAGCACACATGACATATGAGCACATTAGTTTGAATACCTACATAACATTTTTCACAATTTCTGAACCATAAGGCTCAGTCTGAAATCAAAATTCATTTATTGATGAGTACTGCCTAAGAACAGTCCTATTTAGACTTCAGAAAAATTTGCTCACTGCCTCACAAAGATTATGCTGGAAATAAGAAATCAAAAATTCGAAAATTATCATCATCATTTGAATATAATATGTATAGTTGAATGAGAAATCACATGTGGAAATTACGTATGATACGCCAATGTCCTCAATATAACCTAAAATAAATCGAATGTCATGAATCTAGTGTGTATCCCCAGAAATGAATAAAGATGGAACTATACAGGGTATGTCACGACGAGCTTACACTATCTCTATATCGAGAATCAGTGGGGAGAAATACATGAAAATATGCATGCTCATATTTTACAATACGTTTATATATATATTTATATATAAAATAATTTCAGCAATGCAGTGTTGCCGCTTCTATCAAAAAGTAGTAACAACTTTGCTATTTTGAGTAGACTACCCTGTATTATATTTCATTTTTGGATTCTCCCTGAAGAGCTGATTTCAACGATATATCACACTTAGGGTATATCGAAAATGATTACAGATATAGGGTGTTCATAATCGAGATTTTTCAACTTTAGGATTTGTTTGTGTCGAAACTATTCATTATCGGCCAAAACGGTTCACATGTCCCTATCTCAACTCTTGATTTTCTATTTACTTATATTCAATCGGAACAGATACAGGGTGATCAGAGTTCTGAATCTTTTCTTCTTCTTTTGGGTTTATTGGATTTCTGTCACCTTTCGGTAACAATTTCTCCAGATCAGGTAATTAATTTTTTCAAGAATATATATGGTTATGTAATAATATTGTCACTCGACTCGAGCACTAAAGACACCGTAGTCCGTCACCATGCCCGACAGCCGAGTTCATCAATGTCCAAAGATTCTATCGTATGTGCTCATGCTGAGCACGTTTGATTTCAAGTATGGCCCCTTTATCCGGTGAATCCGTCACCATCCAGCCTCTATACCGGCGTAGAGATAAAAGGGCTTTATAATTTTCACACACACTTATTAAACTTCACAATAAATATTGGATTTTGATCCAGATCAGGTAATTAGAAAAAATATAGACTTGCACACACATTAACCTGACTTTGACCTGGAGACGCCATGTGTCTCCTTCCATGGTCAAAAGGCGAATCCAGTTCTGAATCTTAAACCACCCTGTATCTATTCCGATTAAATATGAATAAAACGTGAATCAAAAGTTGAGATAGGGACATGTGAGCCGTTTCGACCAGTAATGAATAGTTTCGACAGAAAAAAATCCTCAAGTTGAAAAATCTCGATTTTGAACACCCTATATCTCTGTTATCTTTTTCGATAGACCCAAAATGTGATACATCGATGAAATCAGCTCTCCAGGAAGAATCTGGAAAGCGATAAAATACAGGGTGTTCCATTTGAAATATCAATGTTGCTACTACTTTCTAGTAGAAGCGGCAACACTGCATAGTCGAAAATATTCTGAATGAAAAGAGCGTATTCTTGATGAGCATGCACATTTTCATGGATTTTTCGCGATTGATTCTCGATATAAAGATAGTGTAAGCTCGTTGTGATATACCCGTATAAACATTTCAGAGTGAGAGGAGACGGCGAGTATCTGTCCGTTCCCTATTAAGATGACAAATACGTCAATAATTTACATCAATAGACCCTAGTGTTATTCTACGATGTCCGTTACAACGCTCGTTACGAAGTCCGTCATTATAACGGTCGTGTGGCTCCTCTCTAAAATTTTGTTGTCAAAATCAAAATGAAAAATCTACGTTTTTCAGATTTTTTTTGAAACATCGAATTTATTCCGTACTTTACGGACACAGTGTATAATTAGTTCTGAATATTCCTACCTCTATTTCAGAAATATACGAACACTATCTCACAAAAAAAGGAGAAAATGCGGTCAGCATAGAGCGTAACCTCAGTAAAATTGGACTATATATCTCCTCAAAGATTTCCGATTTGAATCGTGTGACCAGGGGTGAGTATGAAAAATACATATTATGAATGAGGTTTTTTTCCATGTATGAAAATTTGCTGTTTCAGTAAAGGCAGCTACTGAGAAGGAAAATAGAGATTTCGAAAGGAAAAAAGATTCAAATTCAGTTGGAGCAGAAATTACAAAAGGAAAAAATTCCGAACACGAAGAGAGTTTTGATGAAGATAAAAATAACATTTTTGATGCATATGATGGATGTTTAGATAGTGAAGATGACATATATGAGGAAAATGATTTATGATAATCATTCTAGCACATTTGACTTCTGTGTTTTTACATCGTGATGATATTCTCGGAATTGAACCAAATAAAGTTACAAATTCAATTGTAAACCGTGTCATTGAGAGGTCATGTAATCCTCGTATAGAATTCTCATTGTGAATCTGTACACTGTCAAACTCTCCAATATTCAACCACCTTTCCTTGAGTTCTCAGAAAATTGATTTCAAATGATCTAATAAAAACTTGAACAACATTTATCGATGATTTCTACAAGATTTTGCAAGAAACTTTCAATTATTGATGACTCCTTTTTGAAAATGTTCTGTTGATTGGTTCATGTAGGTCATGAATTTGGGGAATATCCATAATAAAATTATTGAAGTGAATAGATATAATAAGTTGATCAATATCAAATTCATTCTATTGTAAACCTACATGGAATAAGAATATTATCTCATTTGTATGTGTGGTGTCCAGATCAGAAGAAGGTCCTGCCAGTCGTAAAAGGCGACTGGAAGGACGCCCATATAGGTCGACCTCAGAGGTTATCTGAACTGGGTTATACCTTGTTATAGACATGTTTCAGTAGCTAATCGACAGTTTCAGCCAAACCATACATAACCAGATATACCGGTGATGAGTTCTCCTTTAGTAAAATTATGCAGAACCTTCCCATTCTTATTTCCTGGTCAGATACACCCCAATCAATCTACCAATGCAACCTTCCTTACTCCACAATATATCTTCTCAAGGATCTCTCGATATATTTTAACATCTCAATATTATCATCAATTTCCAATGATTAATTCAGTACCTTCTGTCAATTATCAAGTTCACTTCACTTTGACATTGTGAAAAATCTATTCTCATACACAATAATTCCAACTTTGACGTAGTTCTTAGAGTGAGGAGAGATGCTTGTATATCTAGACGTCCTAACGACATCTCTGTTAAGTCATATCTAAACATGTTCACAATAATCTAATATAATACAGGATGTATACCTACTATGCTGCAACCATTTGCACGCAGCCATTATAAGCAGGATAGCTGTTTTTAAGAAATGTTTTCTCTGAATTTTATTAGTTTGGGAAACAGATTTTAATACGTTTGTACCGTTATTAGCTATAATAATCGTATTACCAAGGAGGAACAAGGATATCTTCATGGGTACATTTCTTGTCAACCTGACAAGTGAGTGCCTAAGATCACTTTCACTTATCTCTTCAAAATAATAATATCGATTTGATTCTACTTTTCTTTGAATTTCGAATGCTGAAAGTTGATTACTTACATGCGCTCTGCTCCGAAAATTTTAAATGAATTATTTTGCACGAAATACGAATAGGTACCATCATTTGTGTAACACATGCACACAGAAAAGAACAATCATTGAGGCAAAAATCCTAACCTCTTGAACAATATTATAGGTCGCGTGTACGATGACCGACCCTGGAGGCAAAATATTGAAACACAACCTCGCTCTTCTGTGAATTATTGAAACACAACCTCACTCTTCTGTGAATTATTGAAACACAACCTCACTTTTCTATTTGTTTACAGAGGAATCAAAAGGTTGAAATAGTTCTTCACAATATTTTGACATACGAATCGTGTTTCTTATTGCGTTATTCATTGATTCAAGCATGCCTTCGCCTTGTGCTGTTGTATACAATGCACAAAAAATGCACCAAAAAGAGACTAGGGAATATGATTTTCCAGGTAAATAGTGATCTCACATAGTTATCATTATGAAAATGTCTACAACACACACGATCGTCAGCATGTCAGACCAGTCCTCCCGATTGATTGCATGAATCCAATCTTCTGCATTATTCTAGGAATTTCAGGTATATTTCTATTAGCTCCTATTGCAGAAGGAATTCCGATGAGAAATCAAAGAGATAACCAAATTTCAAAAATGAAAACTATATACGAGGGACTATAGTAGGTAATTACTTTTAAATCATAATTGAGATCATAATGTATCATCCGGATTCCTTCATCTTCCGCTGCAGTTTTGTGCATTTCACAACAGCACAATGTGATGGCATGAGCGAATTGATGAATAGCGGAAAAATACGATTCATATGCCAAAATAATTGTGGAAAACTATTTCCATCACTTGTGAACAAATAAGAAAAGTGACGTTGTGTTTCAATGTTTTGCCTCCAGCGTCGGTCATCTGACAGTTCTTGCACGCAACCCATGTTGAAGCAAGGAATAACGGCAGTCAAACAAAAGATACATCAGTAGAAGCATATTATATCATAATACGATCAAAACTCATATAAATAGCTCCTGTTCGATTTGATGCCTCGATGTTTAAGTCTGAGGAAATTTCAACATTGTCACCACTCTCCTAAGTTGACAGCACATTCTCAACAACATCGCATCAAGAGAAACCAGACATTTTTGCAGAAATTGTCGCAGCAAACGCGACCTCAGATTTCCAGGAAAGAGTGCAGCCATCAGATATTCCTCCCGTTGAAAGTCGAATGGCCAAAATCGATTTTGCCAACGTACTAAAAAACGCTATTCGATCTCGAATGAAAGAAGGCTAGTCACGGTCATGTTGGAATCCACCTATTGTTCTTAAAAAGTGTGAACAAGAAACATTCAGCATACGGACAACAGTATACTACCTACCCTCCGCCCGGCTGCGATTTTACTAAATATACTGCACGCTAGCACAAACCACGCCCACCATAATACGTCATATCTACAAACATTACCGATATACTCGGAGTCAGCACATCGCACTAAATATACTGTGCTCCAACGCAAGAATACACTTTTTATGATTTTGACACGAATTCGACTGAAGCTCTCTCGTGGTCAATCTCTTGTACGCAGTAAACTCATATATCCAAATGGTCTACTGGTTAGCGCTGTTGACTTTCAGTCTGATGGTTCATGGTTCGAATCGCTGTGAACTAGAACTTTTTTTTGCAACTTTTTTTTTCACCAATGTTTTTTTACTTCATTCTGGTTTTCCTTTTTCATAAAATATTTGAAGTCAAATAGGTTAGTGCGTTTAGGATAAACAGTCTCATTTTATTCAATTTTGTTGAAGAACTCAACTTTTGAAATATATTATTAATCAATGTGTTTCTACACTCCATCCGGTTTTCCTTCCTCAAAAATATTGCAATCAGGGATAGGTTAGTTCGTTAAGGATGAATAGTCTCTGAGTTTTGCCTAAGTACTTCGAAGATAAGATATTACGGTGGGCGTGGTTTGTGTTAGCGTACAGTATATTTAGTAAAATCGCAGACCGGCTTGTTTGTTGTTTGACATGTTTGTTTTCATTATATTATTGATATTCGATTCATCTGTTTCAGTATATTTTATAATACTAACTATGTACCATTCCACAAAAATTGATCTTGAAAGCCCTGAGTCCATACAGTATTTCCATTTTCACAGGAGTATAACATGATCTACCCAATCATAGGCCTTGAAAAGTACCAAGAAATGTTCGATGTACTCTTAGATCAAAATTTTTAGATCTGTGATGTACTGATATGATAGCACACTATACTAACTCAATATTGTACATTTATGATCTAAAGAGAATCATGCTCGGATTTTTTCATGTCGATCTAAACTACCCTTTATATCTAGTTTGTGATATACTAATTCATGTTTATTTTCAGGTGAATGATCACTTTTTTGAAAACTAAGTCACCTACTGAAGAAATCAGTGACGTCGTTCAACAACATGAAAATAAAATTCTCATCACTTCAGTATTAACATTATTTTATAGTAGTCGTAATTTATGTAGATGGATTGAGTAGTTAGTTTCCCCAATTCCTCTCCTATTATACCATATTAACTCAAATTACACTTTCAGGCGTCGTTTTCATGATACCCGGACAAAAACATCCAAAACTGATCCTAGATGGCGACGAATACTCCGTTTATATGAAGCACGAAGATAGAACTAGGTGGCGCTGTAGTGCTTACTTTAAAACAAAATGCAAGTCGACACTCTTGACTCACGGAAAAGTTGTTAGAGTCAATCGGCAGCACAACCATATTCCGCTCCTTATTGGCAAAAAAGTTAACGCCAACTTCAGGCAGATAGTTGAGATCGTCAGGTCAACTTGAATTTCATAAAAAAAACACTCATCAGTATATAGGAATGTCATTTTGATAGTCATGTGAATGTCGTATAGGAATCAAAAAGTCCAAAAGTTCATCCTGAGAATTTTACACTCAAATAATTATGAATATATGGATGAATATGACATCAGACTGATCCTACTTTCAACTTCATGATACAATTTGAATGCCATGTAACTTTTGGATATGTATTCTGAATCTGTTGTGCAATGCCATCAATAACTTTGCTTAGAGCATCATCAAAAAATAGATCCCTTTGTGATGGCGAATATGATAACGGCGATGCAAATTTCATCTCTCTGCTACGCTGCTGATGTTAACTTCTTTAATTCTCAACTAATACTGCAAGACATTGGACTATGTTCAGAAATGTTCAAGAAAGTTTCATGGGGATGAGCTTTCCGATTTCAGAATGTATCTCAATTGCAATATTGCCTTTTTTATTTATTTGAATGAACTTCTCTCGGAGTTCAAAAGTAGTTTTTATTAATAATAAAATCCAATGAGTCTTGCGTAAATATTGAGAAGTGATTTCGCATTCAACATTCCATCAATATCAGACGCCGTTCGAACAATCATTTAATCATAACAAAAATTTGTATTGACTCTTCATAAGTAACATGATTCCGAAATAAAATTTTTCATATGTTTTTAAAAAATCGACTTGTTGACGATGGTTTTAGATAGATTGTTTGATTTATCTGGGTGACCCATAATTAATGAAGCATAGTAAAACTGCATATTTCCTAGATGAAAATATTGTGGTTTGGCCCCACTTAGCTCAATTGAAAAGTTCAGGTTAGTTTCAGTTAGGTTATGATAGATTAGTTAGGAGTTGTAAATGCAAAACACTGAAAAACTGTAACTGGGAGCGACATTCACAAAGTTCACCTTCTTACTGTAAGAATAATAAGAAAATGTATATTTTTATTGAGAACATGAATACCTAGGATGCCGCAGACATCACCTTCTTC